CCGTAGAGATCCATGGGGATTCCCACCATGAGTGTGAAGATTTAGAGAATATTTCTCTCCATGGGATGGGGATGAAGGCATTTTACCCCAAGAGGATGCATGGGGATTCATAAATAACAAAAAAAATATAAATTTATATATATATATAGTTTTAAATATATTATCAATTAATTTTTACTCACCCAACTCATTTGGCAAATCCAATCCTTGCTCATTCTTATTCCTTTTCCAGTCTTCCTCAAACTCAATTCAATAAATTAATTCTTATCCATATGGTAGTATTTATTTGCTAAAGCTAGATACTGTTAGATTGTATATATAATGTATTTATTTATTTGAATTATTTCAAAATTTTACCTTTTTTTTTTAAATTTATCACAACAAAATAATGTTAAATTTTACATAATTAATATTTGATAAAAAAAACCATATATCTATTGAAATCTATCATTCTTTACAAATATAAAAATGAAAGGCATTTTTTAACCTCTCACCAAAAATCTCTACAAGAATTTCCGTACCCCATCATTACGGAGGATAAGATGGAGATAGGGTTCCACTCCTGTGTGACACGATAACATCCCTACACATACATAGTCAAGTGATAGGACCTCAGCCTTTAAAACCTTGACTTTTTTTCTTTTTTTTTTGGTACATAAAAAAACCTTGACTATTAAGTCTAAGCTAATTGGAATTAAAAAAACACTATTGTCATATACATAGATTTTTTTTCCTAATCTTCGAGTTCAATTACAAATTTTATGAAAGAATTTCCTTTCTGTCAAATGTCAGTCCACCTCCAATGGTACAATTGTGTATAAATGATATGAATGTCCCATATGTTCTGCTTCTGTCATGGTTCCTTCCGGGTTTAGGCTAATTCTCATCGGCCCCAACGAGTACTCATTCCATGTTGTTTCGTTGTTTGTTTACCATCAAAATATGTCATCCCAATTACACCCACTAGACTAGCCTTACATTAGAACAACCTTTCTTCTAAACAATGATAGAGAGAAATTTTTATCTAGTGGAAAAGTTAAAATTTTACATTACGCCAAATTCTTAAGATAGGCAACAATGAAATTGTGGGGAAGGGGAACTGGGTTGTAACGTTTGGGAATTGAGATGGATTTGAACCTTGGTGAGGTGGATTACCCTTTGTCACCGGTGGATTAATAAAGACTAACAGTCATATATACTTACCTGCCACGAGTTCTTTGCTTGAGATCAGCCTAGCCTGGCATGCCAGCATTCTTGTTTGTTTATGCAGGTCGCTCTCTGTTTAATCCACATCAACAGAAGAAAAGGGGACCTTGAGAGATCAAGCTAGTTCTATACAGTTCAAACATATAGGAAAGTACTGTACCATGAACGAAAAGGATAGAGAAGAAATGCCAATGGGGCAGCCAGCCAATAGTCATAGGCAACGTAAGAGGCATACAAACTGATTGAGTAAAACATATAAGACAGTCTGTCGGCTATTATCTCTCCTATAATTCTGGAATCTCTGATCATGTTACTCAGCAAACAATAGTACTTAATTGGCATTAATTGGGAGCAGAGAAATGAATTATAAATGCAATCATAATAACGTGTAATTGATGGAAACTGTTGGAATGATACAGCAACACATGACCATGGCAACAAAAAGGAAAAAAAAAGTTACTGACCTGCGCTCAGGCATTAATCTACAAATCAGTGGGGAAAATAGTAAAGCATATGAACATGCTGTGTTTCAATCCTGAAAAATATTCAGCATTACTCAATCAGTTTTAGTTGTCACCACATATTCAAGGAAGATATTCTGCACAAGCTTCCAGTTCCACTGTTTGCAAAATCACAGAGCAAGATAACAGGGCAGGTGAATGAACACAGCATACTATAACAGCAAACCATACCGACAAATTAAAGTAAACGTGCTCGAACTGTTCAAATTGTCAAAACCCCTAGCGGCCTTTGTCTTCATGCTAATGAATGATTCCCCTCCTCGTCCTAAAGCTAGAGTAACCTGCCTCAAATTGTACAGAAGTGTTGGCATTGGGTTCCTCTCGCGGCTTTGATAAACATTAACACTCAAATAGTATCGAACAAAATGTTATGTCTATCTTGTCCTAGCACAAATGATAGCACCTTCCCTACATCAAACGCATCGTAAAATAGTTATAAAGTATAAACACAGTATATCTTGATATAAAATAATTTTATGCTAAGTGAAGTTATATACAAAACCAAATTATGAGCAGATATCTGGTCTCAATATTATACACAACTTGCATTTGCAAACAAATGTTTACATGCACGAGCACGTCGCATTACCCTCTCACCCTCATTATAGACTCTCATCTGTAGGTATGACACAATCAATGCCACATCTTGCACTTGCACAGGTAGCCACACACCTGCTCCAACAATGCAGTTAAACTCTCCCATTAATGTTCAGCTGATTTGATCTTGACAAGAGCAGCCCACCAAAGTCTTGTTATCTTTCTACTTGTTTCTCTCTACTCACATCTGTTACAAAGCCTTCTAGCGACCACCATGTCATACCCAGTCATTCTCATAAGAACCCAGTTCTCTTGCTGTTGAATAAGTCTCCTTCTGCTTCCCTATCTAGAGCTCTTTCATAATCTCTCTCCTATGAAAATCAAAGCGGTCAACAACATCTAGCTTTCAGAAGCACTGCTCAAAATGAGGGTAAGTCCCAGCTTTACAGAATAGAGTAGCTCACATGTTTCTCATACAACTGAGTTTGTCTTTGGATTTTCATTGTTGCAGCTACTAGGGTGGATGCAGCACAAGCTATGGCAAAACAGTACTGAGCCATTCAAAGAATTCATAAGTGGTATTCAAACTTTTCACATCTAGAACTAACTTATTCTGAAACCTCCTTGTGACCAACAAGGAAAGTACCCCATGTTTCAATCAAAGCAGCAGAATAGAATAAATAGTTTACCTAACGTACACGCAATAAGGAGAAGAATCTAGAGTACTTAAATTAAATTGGTGACAACATAGTAACAGATACTTTTGTCTGCAATAAATGCCAGTGGTGTCACGCACATAGGTGAAGCTCAGAATAATCTAAAATTTTCAAAATTTCCACACAGCAGTCACCTTGTGAGCGGGGACCATGATCTTCAGTGGTCACAACACCATGTGACTCTCTGCATAACTTAAGGATGTTAGTCTACATGACCATGCTTAAGAAATCAAACACGCTACGCAGCAACCATGTCCCACTAAATTCATGGACACCACTAAAATGGTCCACCATCCTTCATTCTACTTGCTCAAGACTATTTACGTTCTTTCTCTGCACTCCTCTTTGAAAAGGGATCTTATAGGAACTCTTTTGCAGGGAATCATTGCGCTTGCCTCTCAGCTAAGTCATCCCTCAATGAGCGAGACTCACATTCAAAACCCACATTTGGCACCAGATATGAATGCAGATCCTCACAGCAGAGCAGACAGGAATGCAAATACTCTTCTGATTCTGACTTTGAACTGAAGGGAGAAGAAGCAAACTTAGAAGATGAAGGAGGATTAGTTTTCCATGGCTTTCTCACCATTGGAACTCTTGGTTCAGAAAAAGTCATCAGTGATCCAGAAACACCAACATTTACCACATCTCTGGACAATATAGCTGAAGAGAAAACAGATGTGACAGGAATTGATTCAAAGCTTACCAACGATAAACAAGAAAAGTTCCTTGAAGCTGAAGAAAAAGGGTCTGATGAATCTTCAAAAAGGAGCAGTCAGGTTAGCACCATTACATTCAGTGGCAAGCCAATGGGGGGAGCCAAATTGGAAGAATATGGAAGGGTGATATGCCCATTCCAAGGATACGTATTTGGGTCTTCAATTCAACTTCCAGAAACAAGAACAGAGGGGAAGAAGGAAAAGGTATCACTTGCAGATTTGTTTAACAGGGAAAAAGTTACACATGGGAGTTCAACAGAAAAAAGTGGGAAAGAGGAGATGCGAGCCAGGCAAACAGATAAATCCGTCAAACTTCACATCATGAAGATTCTGAACAAGCTGCAATCTTCCTCTAGGACTTCTAGCACTTCTCCTAAAGAGACTTATTCTGTTTCAACCAAGAAAAAAGTCCAAAAGGTGAGTCATCTGGTACTAGGTTATCCATGAATTTTTAAGAACCATTAAACCTATAATCAATAATGTAGAGTTCAAACTGGAATAAAAAACATGCTTGCAGTCAGACCATCAGATTTAGCAGCCAAGAACAAGATTTTGAGGAAATCATAACTAAGACATTGCATTTTCTTGGTATATATGTTAGACAAGAATGCTTGTCATATAGGATTTATAATTATCATATATTTTGCCACAAACAAATATATTAATTACCGCAGGGGTTCAGTCTCATGCTAAAAATTTTAATATGTTTTCTGCAAAAGTTCTAATTTTCATCAAGTGTGACATGCAGATCATAAAAATGTTCCACAGAAAAATCCATCCTGAAAGCTCTGATGCTGAAAGAAAGCTTAAAAATTCAAAGGAGTGTAAGGTCAATAATACTCCCCATTATGGTTCATATATTGAGCAAGGCAAGATGCATCAAGACAAAGACAATTGCAAGTTCTGTCAGAGCTGTAGCTCACAGGAAGGAAGACGAGGATACAAGACCAACTCAAAACAGCCACAGAACATGCTTGCTGGCAGTAATTCAAGTGGGAATAGGGAGCATTGGAACAGAACAGATGCAAACTGTAAGTATCATGCATCATCAAAATGAGATACTTCATTCCACCTCTTAGTCATTCCAAGGCACAAGACCTAAGCCATGAATCTTAACTTCTATTGACAATTGATTTAGGATTTTTTTTTAGGCAGCATCCCACTTTTCACATAAGATAACTGCAACCACTCTATAAGAAAGAGCTGTTGTCTAATAAATAGAGTATCAGACATATATCAACGATTATTGATCAAGATGACTATCATTGTTAATTTCTATGTTTTTCACATAAAAGAGCACATGTACTATGCTGGGCCCACTATTAAGTAGTGGAATGATTAGATTATCTAAAATTTAGATTCTGAGACTCTTCTTCTCCTGGCACTGTAGACCTGATATTGGAATTGGAGTGAAGATGCTGCAACAAAGATATGGTAGCCATCATCCTTCATGGGTAAGAGCTGTCAATCTGATGCCATTATCTAGTACAATCTGTGTCATTGTGTGATCCTGAGTGAATGTAGTGATAAACTCAAAAGAAAGAGGAAGAATATGAAGCAGACTCTATTTTATCTCCCTCAGTGAAATAATAAAGTTCGGCACTATGTATTATTACATGGGTATCCATGGGGTTATTTTGTAAATGTGAAAGCTCTTACAAAGTAATGGAAATGCTTGCACATTTCCCAATAAAGTTCTGCACTAAGTTTCATGTACACTCCTATTATGCAGAGATGATTATGATAAGTTTTGTTATTTGAATTTCATTTTTAAATTTTTCTCAAAACAAGTTTTTGTTTTCTGAGTAAGTACTAAGTACATGCAAAGATCTAGCAGCATTTGAGTCAAACCTCACAGTAAAGCTTGATGAGGGAGTCATAGCCACAAACTAAATCTTTAGGCGCTCTTCTCTCAGAACTCCACCCATTTCCATCCTCCAAGATAGATCAACTAGAGCCACTAGCTCTCTGAAATTGATATCAAAAGTCCATAGGATAAAAAGTTTTAGCTCAAGAAACTTCTTAATGATACACTAAGGTTTACAGCAGATACGTAACTTTGAAGTTTGGGCCAACAGAATTAAAAATCATGCTTCTCAAAACCAATTGTGAATTTAAGATGTGCAATATGATAACAAAATTTACTATTGCTACCTTAATTTTTGTAAGAGTTTTCAAAACTACAAACAGTGAAAAGTTGAACTTTTCAAGATAAGAGCACTGTGTTATACTTGGTTTAATTGAATAGAGTAGAATAGATATACAAAAGATTTACATACTTGAGGTCATGACTGACAACAAGTATTGTTAATTCTTTCTTTAGATGCCTCAGAAGCTTCACAACATCTGCACGCGCCTTCCAATCTGATTATTTCAAAACAGCATTAGCAATAACAATTTAAGTGACAAAACACCTTAAAATCTGTTGTACCAAAAGAAGGTTTGAGATTCAGAGGCACACAGCCATTCAAATTCAAAGTAAAATTTCTTTAATCTTTCTGTATTCCTGTAAAAAATTTCTCTTTTAGAAAGTCTTCAACTACATTGGGTCGAATACTTGAATTGGTTGAGGGAAGAAGGAAACATCAAATTATCTGAATAATGGAAAAATGAAGAGTTGTTAAGTTAGAGAAAACAAATCCACTACCTGCTATTGGATGGCAATACAACTAGCATAATAGGTAGTCCAATTGAATGGATAGAGAATGATAGCCTCCATTTAAAATAAAGTTGATACTTTGAATAATCAACCATATACTATAACCACTAAAATAACACTGTAATAATAATTTCAATGTTATAATTATAGTTATTATAGAATATGAAATTATGGCACTAAGTTGAACTGAATTATTACAAAAATTGCTATATTAATACTAGTTTGTCACTATATACTTTTAGGCTCAAACAGTTAATCTTTAGCTAGAATTTACAGTAAAACAAGCATCCAAAGGAATTGCTTTCAGATCTAACTTTTCATTGTAAACAAGATGTTATGTTTTGGAGAACATTTTAGTAGGAGAGAGGTGCTTGCTATTAGAGGAACATTTGTGGAGCTGTTAAATTAACTTCAAAAGTCTAGTTTGTAGACTATTAACTTCAAAAATAAATAAATAAATAAAGACCCATGCATCTTCTTACCAAGTCCAGCAAGGGGCTCATCCAATATCAATAAATCTGGGACTTTTACCTGAGGAATAGATCCAATAAACATTCAGCCAACAGACAACAAAATAGAAAAAGAGGGATGGGGGGGAAAGAAATTCAGTGATCGATAGGTCCTTACTAACTGAATTGCTAGAGCAAGACGACGTTTATAGCCACCACTCAATGAGTGAGGATCTGTGTCCCAGGAGATCCCATTCAATCCGACCTGAGGTTATCATTTAATCCAGTAAACAATTTCAGATCTGGTGCAAAAGACAAAGATAAAACCCAAGACCCAACCATGCTGGACATTAATGAGATAAGAAAATATTAAGGACATGAAATTTAGAGGACCTTTACTGAAAACGATAGAAGCAAACTCACCCAGTTAATTGCTCTTTGCAGATTTAATGCTAAACGCTCCTTGAGCTGAGGCCCGGCCCTTTGCCTTGGCCACCCAAATATAAGTTCATCAAGCACACTGTCTGTCACAAAATACCTAGCCAGCAACATGCCACATTCTCAGAAACTTAACACATTCAAGGTCCTTACCAAACTGAACAGTCTTATTATTTATGCAATCAAGAGGCTAATGATTCTATTATAACTTTTCTTGGCAAATTCAAACCCTTGTACATAATAGAATAACCATTTTTCCTGCAGCATGATTATTTATAAGAATATGGAACCACAATACCACTCAGGTCTTAAATATATCCATGAATAGCTGGATAAAATGGACTAATATGTCATTGCTTTAAGATGACCATGAAAACTGAGCCATTAGAACAAAAGCAGGAGCATCTATCAAAAAGATGAAGAACCAAAAGCAACTTAAACACAAATGAGAAGTTGGATCAACTGTCTGACATATTTTCCATTGACACAAAAAAAAAAAGAAGACATATCCATATTTTATTAACAAGTCTATAACTAAAAGAAAATAGCAGCCAAGAGACCTAAAACCTTATCATAATTTTCATTTGATATCCAATACCTCTCTGGAAACTGGAAAACAATTCCTACTCTTTCTGGGACTAATGATTCCGAAGATTGAATTGGTTTTCCTTCATTAGTATATCTCTGCATGTAAATAGAACCCGATGTTGGTTTGCTTAATCCTGCAAGAAGCTGAAAGGAGAAAGGAAATTGGAATTCAGAAAAATGCAAATAAAAGATAGAAGAACAAAATGTGTGTAAAGACAAACTGAGTATGCCTGCAAGAGAGTTGTTTTCCCACTTCCACTCTGCCCAAATATTAACCCAAAACTGCAGCATTTGACACAAACTATTTAGTCAATGACCAAAACAAAAAAGAACAGTCACTTAATGTTTATTGGGCAGACCATTTGGGTGAAAAAATATTGTGATCAGAACCATTAAGCAACATTTACCTTTTCTCAGGAAGGGAAAAACTAACTCCATTTATAAGGTTAAGCTGTGTCCCTGGGGGTCGATAATAAACATCTCGAACCTTGAACATGCACAACAGAATAAAATGTTTCAGAAACATTTCAACCCATAATAAACAACAATCTGAAATTTCTACCCAAATTTGCAATCTTAGTACAGATATCTAACAAGATAGATTCCAGAGGAGAGGAGGAGAAATAGAGGAGACGAAGAATCTCACCTCCAAGCATGAGTAATTACTACAGGAGATCCTTGAAGGCAGATTTCTCTTCAATTTCAAGCTACGGAAAATGGAAAACATCTTTTAATGATTTCAATAAACTAACCAAGCAAGTAGAGTAAAAGGAGAAGAGATTTCGTATGCTTACATGGAGCGTGGTGCAGTAGAGATTGAGCTCAAATTTCTCCAGTCGATCGGAGTAGAGAGTGCGGCCGCCATGTCTGTGCGGCAGACGGTGAATATGGTGGAGTATTGAGTCAGTAATTCGAACTAAAACCGATAGAAATTCTGATCGTAATTGCGACCACCAAACTTGCCAGAGGCGGAAGAAGGTGGGCTAAAACCAACTTTTAGCCCCTCAACTTATAAAATTAGTAGGTTTTAGTCCCTAACCTTATAATATAACATTTTTAACCCTTTACCTTACCAATTTGATAGGTTTTAACCCCTTACCTTACAAAGTTGGTAAGTTTTAACTCTTCATCTTATATTACGACACTTTTAACTTCTTATCTGTTTGAATTAAAAAAAATAACCCTTAATTAATATCAGGTTATAATATTCTATTAGTTTTGTTAGTTGATTGTCAGTTTTGTTAGTTAACTGTTATTTCTATTAGTTGGCTGTTAACATCCGTTAACATTCCGTTAATAAAACTAATAAATAAAATTAAATTTAAATTTTACATTTTTTATAATGAAATACTAACAAATATTAATAATCAACTAACAAAACTAACAGAATGTTATAACTTAATATTAAATTAAGGTTATTTTCTTTAATTCGTATTAGTGAGGGGTTAAAAATATCATAATATAAAGTAAATGGTTAAAACTTATCAATTTTGTAAGGTGAGAGGTCAAAACTTATTAATTTTGTAAGATAAAGGGTTAAAACTGTTATATTATAAGATGAGAGGTTAAAACCTATTAATTTTGTAAGGTGAGGGGTACAATGTTGGTTTTTACCGAAGAGGGTGTTGCCGTGGTGGTGGAGACCAGATACAGCGGGATAAAAAATTTTGGTTTTTTATACAGGGGCCGTCTTAGCTTATTTTAATTAATATTTATTGAAAAAAATTAAAATATTTTATTTTTAAAATATGGGTTAAGATTTTTTTTTTTTAATTTTTTTAAAATAG